TAGTATTAGTTGACAGTGTGAAAAGCATTCCTGAAGCAGACTGGGGTTTTTTGTCTTTTTTCCAATAGCTTTATGTTTTTGTTTCTGGTACCAAAAGTGGCTAGAGGTACAAAGGGCAAATTTTTAAGGTCCACCTAGAGAGTTACAAAGGCTGATAGAAACACAGTGGGTATGAAGGTACAATGCTTACAGAACAGTGAGGGACAGACTACCTGCCATTGTACGTCTGCTGAAAGAGTTATGTGAGGAAGGAAATGACAGAACTGTAGAGACAAGAGGTCTGTTAGCCTAAATACATCTAAATGTTGTCTTCTTATAACTTTGTTTTGCGTTTGGTGAGGTCAAACATCTGTCTGATATTTTGCCATCCCCGCAGCTCAGTTTAGTCAGCTGTTATTGACGCTCTTGTTGAAACACTGGTGGTAACACTGGTGATGCACCTCCAGGCCGTCACGTCACACCAAGCTCTGGCTTAGAGCCTACTATATTTCCACTCCAGTAGTTCAAAGACAGATCAGCACAGACAAGGAATCATTTCAAACTGGTACATTCCTCCAATCACTGACATGCTTCGGTCTGAGATGAAGAGAAGATTATTATCAGGAAACTGTTATTATGAAAGGTATACAAGCTTTAAATCTCAAATTTTTCCATTTTCTGCACAGTACACACACAGCAACATCAACAATCGGAAATACGAGATTCTCCAACTAACATAAATTCTTGAAAAAAAAAAGAGCGACTGTAAAACATAAACACAAGTTTATTAGAGCTTATCATGAGCCACATAAGGAGCTGTTTCGTGAACTGTTTAAACCGTGCAAAATTGCACTTCCATTACCGTGACCAGTGTCATGTGAGCACAGCTTTTCAGTGCTCACATCTTCTCACCGACTCAGCAGTTTGAGGGCATTAAGCACTGAGGCAAGAAGGGCTAGAGCCATGAACCTTGATAATTTTGTGGATGCTTTAAGACATGAAAATGATGGAGCAAAACTGTTTTGAATAAATGTGATGCCAAAAGATGGTTTTGTTTTGCACCAGTAAACACGTAGCATGGAAACTCGTGAAAGTCTCTGTGTGGGGTTTGAAATTTCAAAGTCGTATTTCCAGTGAAATAACTACTGATCAAAGTGATGGTAGAATTTGTTTACTATATTATTCACAGGTATTTGATCCTGACAGATCACTGTTGCATCTCAGGGCCAACACATAGACAGACAACAGTTCACAGTCTTACATGATCCAACACGTGTCTGTCTTTCCTGATCAAGTTTACTCTTAAAGTGAACTCCATTCTTGGAGAGGGAATCTTATGCTGCTTGTGCTCAGCTCTGCTGAGAATCATTAAAGCGGTGGTTGGGACTTCCAGTCAATCAAATAAT